CCCCAAAACCCCAAAACCCCAAAACCCCTGTTATGATGCTAAATTGAAAGGATTTTAGTGAGAAATATTGAATTACCATTGCCATGGTTTAGCCAAATCTCAATTCAAGAATACATCCAAGATTTCTCCTCTATTGATTTAGGCTTCGTCTTTGAGAAGTTAGATCAGATTTTGTGTGTTAAGTCCTATATCATTCCAAAGCTGACTAATAGCAGTTGTTATTTTATAAATCCAACTAGGCTTACATCTCAAGAGGAGCCAAATTTAGATGATTCATTTGAAAACCTCACTTGTAATATAAATTCCCAGTCATGTTCATTAAAAAGCAAATAGACGATTTGTCAAGAACTCAGCTCTGGTTTCCCCAGGTGACTCTGAAAATTGACTATATTTTACTAAATTTCGAAGCTAAACTATACAGCCTCCTTGACCATATTAACAAATGTACTATCCCATTATTCTTTACAGGAAGTTGTCCTAAAATTAAACACAATCGCAGAAAGGAGAGCTTCCTCAGAGATCCTGTGCACTCATAAAGCCAGAGATTGGTATATCTGAGCAATTGAGACTCACAGTCGAGGAAGCAACTTAAGCTGTTACCTTTAGGATTCCTATATTTTGTTCCTAAAGCATTTCATTTCACAGGAAATGAGCTCTGGTGAATGTATAAAGGGAGATGTCTATCTAATCCTAAGTTCCAAGCTCATTAATTTAGCAATATCATGTTTGTAATTTAGACAGAAAATCTGAATGTATTCAATGATCCCCATTTCTATTAAAACAAGCAAACTATGACTGGCATTTACTATCCAGAGAGATTCAGTGAGAACAAGAGATGGTTTATAATAGATCAGAAATACAAAATTTACCCGTTTCACCACTACTTAGAGATATCTAAATTAGTGCTCCCTCAGTCGCTAATCGAGTTCTTCAATCATAAAGATACCTTCATGGATTAAAAGCAATTTCCCTTATTTTTGCGTTATATTAGCCCTATTAGTAGCGAATTTAGTCAAACAAGTCTAAATTCATGCCTCCAAGACTTGGGTAAAAGAACCTATGATGTCGATCGCTGGAGAGGAAATTCAGAAAACCACGAGATTACTTATTCGTAAACAATGACCCTTGAATTTTATCCCTTCAGAAATATTCACCATTAAACGTATATTACAAGCAAGCTAGGGATTTTAGAATGATGAAGATTCAGAGTGCATTAAGTAAGGATGTGTCACTTTCATAATGCGTATTTCAGGTTCTATAGGAATGCTTGGTCCGTTCCTCATATCAACCTCTATCTCATCCAAGTATACTCTGCTTCATTTCAGGCACTGAGGCCTTCTTTGTCAGTCTATTTTTAATAATTCAGTCCAAAGGTTACTTACCTTCTTCCCTTCGAATGTGGTTCAACAAGCAATAGTAATGGTAGGTGTGCTTCCGATTGCATTGTAAGGGGACTATATCTTCTCCAACCAAGAAGTGTTCTAGACAAATTACTCACTTGTAATTTCCGGTAAGATATTTATTCCCAATGATCCTCAGCTTTAGCTGAGTAATCTTCTCCTTTGCTTTCGTATACTGAGTCCTAGATGCAAGTGAGAACCAGATTTGATGATTCTTGAGCCCCATTGAAAAAATATAGACCTTTCTTGAAATAGCCTACAAGATTTTTCTAAATACTTTTAAGAAAATGACAGTTAGAAGCTCCAGTATAGCCGATTTGTTTGGAGCCAATGGTTAGTGCATAGATTTAATAAAAATAAGTTATTTCTGTGATGAAATAAAGGAATATCTATAATGATAATCTCTTTTCTAATTTAAATGTCCAATAAGATTTTTGATTAAATGTTGCAACTTACAATGCTACCACTCCTAAGTTATTTACTGTATCTAGAACCCTACAGCACAATAGAGCTAATATTAGACTTAGCATCTTTTGGCAAACATTTTAGAGATTAATATAGCATTCACATTATAAAATAGTTGAGAGAGATAAAGAATAGCAACAAATAAAATGATTGCTGAAATCTGAGTTCTACCTAATAGTATTCTGGACCATGTCTCCTATGCTGAACTGAGGTATCATTTTTGCTTCTTCCACACCGCTGTCATTTAATTTTATGCTATCCAAGTTATTCTTGTTTCAGCGAAGACATATTGGATTTTTACCCTGTTCTATTTTGTGTTAGCAAGCAAAAAGAAGAAGTTACCTATGAACGAAGTGATGTAGGCTCTGTAACATGCGTAGTGGTACACATGGCTTTCATAACAAGGTAAGGAGACTATTATATCCTTAAGTCTGAATTCGGTGATGCAAATCATGCATTTATACTGCTTCTCAAGGAACTCAAAGTCGTCAATGGTTGTCTTGAATCTCTCAATTTTCTCCTCAATGGGAATATCAGCATCACCAATAGCAGCATAAAATCCTCTGTAGATTGGTCTATCATGTGGTAGAGGAACCTTCTCTTCTTCAATTTCATTCCTAATCATCATTATTAGAACTTGTAAATTTGAGAAGACAATTGTTAGGTTTTGAATTATGTTCAAAATAATTTATTTTGGCAAAATAAATTGTGACTAATATCTCAGCTAAGCTCATGAAAATATAAGAGCGAGGAATATGATACAAATCCCAACTCACTCTATCTCTACTCCCTAACTTTAATATGCAAACTACTCTATCCTACGCTAATCTCAGCTATTATTATGGCTAAACTCCAAATCCAAGCCCTCAAAAATAAAAATTTTGTTTAAAATCCATTTGAGCCCTTTCGCGATTCTCTACAAAGACTCGACCTAAGAATCCCTCTATTCTAACTTTGCCTTATTACTTGTGCTTAGCCTATGACTCATCACTAAGCAGCACAGGATTTGTAAAGACAGGGCACATCGAATTATACATCTCTTTAGCTTCTCTAAATTTTAAGGTAAAATATTTCTAAGAAGACTAGCAATCAGACCTGATATGGCTGGTTTTACAAGTCAGGAGTAACCTAGACGCCTATATTTTCGCTAGATTATTTGCATGAGATGCTCATAAACTTTGGTGAACTATGGAATAGATAAGCACGCCTGATTTGTGAAATAAGCCATACCAATGATGATTCGTAACCCTCTTGAGGATATACTGAACTAGCATTTAAGTAAGATAAATCGATGTATGTAGCTCGATATGTCTAACTCTGAATACCAACAAATAGGTTATCCTTTTTAGGCTGCAAACGACATTCAAGTTTGATACATAAATTCAGGAAACTCTGATTGTACCTTGAGTAAGAACCTTGATTTCTCTGTCTTTCTGGCATACTACATTGAGAGCCTACTCCTCCTTCCTCATGAGTGTGGTTTCTTTCATATGGTCAGGAATGCATTACATCTGGACGGAGCTTATTCCCTCATTGTGTTCAGACTAAAACTGAGACATCGTGTTACTTGGATTAGGAACGTAAACATCATTAGACATAATTCTAAAGATAAATAGAAATCTTACGAATCAAAACTAAGTCTGCTATCCTTGCTAGATTCTACAGAATCACTTAATTGATGCTCTTCTTTATTCTTTTTATAATTCTGTTCTTTATTTCCCTACAAAAGTTTGACTTAATTCTAGCAATAATTTTTATAAATATTTCAAGATCCTAGTTGCTATTTTCCCGTTGTAAACAAAAATGATTTTACATAATTCTAACAGAGATCAATTTATTACAAGAGTTTACCAAATCTGTAAAACTTGAGCTCCAAAGATAGTTTTAAGAGGAAGAGTCATGCACAAGAAAGAGTTTAAAGAGCGTACTTTTCAAGAACGTATATTTTATTGTAGTTTGAGAAAACACCCAAGCACATATTTATTTCTCCTAACGCTAATGGCAACTATTACACTGATTGGCTTGCTCTAAAATGTTCTCGTATTGTCAAAAAAATGAGTCTTATTATAAAAGTATTATCTCAGTAAGCTCAGGTACAGTTTCAGGCATCTATTTTCAATTTTCCTGGCTTGGCAGATACTCAATGCCTCATCATCAAAGTTCTAAACCCAAGCAATTTCTCAGACAATACCGAGGTCATAATCGAGAATAAACTACTCAAGCAATGTTGGTAGCAATTTCAAAGTCCAAAAATTCCTATTGCTTTATTTTAACTTCAAATTTCTCGAGTTAAGTGCTGAAAATAACTTCCCAGCCAAAACCAGCAAAGATTTTAGGGATATTTAGGCTCTGAAAATAGGCAAATAATGCTATAGAGCCAACTAAGGATGCATCAGAGGTCAAAATATGTGCTGCACAAATGCTAGAGCTTGAGAAATAAGCCTGCTCTTTAGAGGTATATTCCAATAAAACTCTCGATTGGTTTACTCAAAAACAAAATGCAAGAGCATGAGGGGTTTGAAGTGTCAAGTTCAGAACTACTAAAGTTATTCATTTTAGCATTAGGAATACCAAAACAGACAAATTCTGTGTAAGAACCCAGCAGATCCGGTCCAAAGAAGACATTCCTTCCATGGAATGCTTTATTGATGCAGTTTTGAAGTAGCTTACCATTCGGGTGATCCAGAGCTTGCTTTCTTCAAAACTTGCCATCTCTACATCTTCAGATATCTACATGTAAATTATTTAAATCGGCTTTGGGACTGAAAAACAAGCACAGTTTCAGGAGATCAAGAAATGAGTAATTCTGAAGAAAGTTAGAGTAAAAGAAAGGCCAACTTTGGTACTCAGCGTGAGACAAGATCTTTAAAATTTGAGTAGGCATGCTTCGGATTCTCTATTGACCATCCTCTTAAGATCTTTTGTAGAATTTAGAACAAGGAGAGATAAGAGTCAACTCCAACGATTCAAAGAATATAAGATTTGTAAACATTCTTTCAAGTTGAATCTTAGTGAAGTTAGAGCTTTTTATCCTGAAAGTATCTCTCTCGTCTTAAGAATGTTCCAAAATCAACATCCTAATTATGGTAACTGAAGATTTTCAGCTTTTAGATTTCCAAAACACTGGTCATAATGGAACTATCAAAGTTTTCATCGTTGGTCACTTCTAAGATTTTCAATACTACCTAGCACAATTGTCTCTAAAATATGTCTAAATCCTCCTACTTGCACTTTCCATACATTTTGGCAGCCCCAAAGACTGTAAAGTGAGTCTAAAAGGACCTAAGATTACCAAAACCTCTAAAATTTCACTACAAGCACACACAAAATCTCCGAGTACCTTCTAAAATTTTCAAATTAAACCTCACTTCCATTTACCTTCACAGATTTCTGTTCTACAAAATCACACTCAAAGTCACTGCCGAATGGGTTGATCCAGCTCCATGAGAAGCACGCACAAAAATAAATTCCCATTTCCTCGATCTTGGTGATATATGAATACAGCTGAGGGAACCTCAAGAGGTAAAACATGCAGTAAAAATAGAGGAATGCTAAAGTATCGGCAAGTTGTATTATGGGGCGTATGAATCAGAAACAGCAGATGTTAGCCATACAGAGGAAGTTTAGAATAGGGGCGAACCATTCCATGACCTGGTCAACGGCATTTCTGAAGCGAACCATTGAGTCAAAATCCAGCATGACGAATCTGTACAAAGTCAACAGTTTCAGAGCTTCTTTCAAGTCGAAGTTTCTATATGGTGCGTGATTCTTCTGTGTAGGTCATGAACCAAAGTGATCGCGCTAATGCAAAGGAGCGACGCTATGATGTAAAACTTATTTGCCAAGCTTGAAATAAGAAACATCCGTTAGATATGATGCAAAGATTGTTAAAAATGATAAAATACCTTTCATGCTCTTGACTCTCATCACTGTAATCCTGCCACATCAAACTCTGCTGTGTAAGGTTATTTAAGGATGTATCTTTGTCTAAGTCAGGAATCACCACAAGTGTCAGGACTATAAGCATGCATCAATTAGGCTAAATAAGTGTTTATCGTAAGTTTATAAGCCAGTAAGAGTTCAACATAAACGAAATACTGCAATTTGATAAATTCTTCTTTAAAACTAGATTCCAAAATCTAAATCCTGACGAATTTGATTTTCCGAATAGTCCTTTCCCATGAACAAGCTGCTCAAGACAATATTGGTGAAAACATTTACATAGATGGTTTGCACATGCTGGAACAGTCGAGATTCCATAAAAGATGAAGTACCAATTCCCGAAGCTCATGAACCTCCAGAGGTAAACATAAGCGGTCATGAAGTGATACCCAAGAATATGCAGGTAGCAGAAGACGTAAACGCAACTGCTAACTTTATTTATAGCCATTGTTTTTCTATATTTATTAAATATCTCGGGGTTTTGGGGTTTTGGGGTTTTGGGG